GTGATGGTGATGTTGTTGTTGGTGCTGGTGGTGGTGGTGTTGTTGTTGTTGTGTGTGTGTGTGGTAGCCTATCCGTTCGAAATGTTTGGAGCCACGAAGAGCTTGCTCTTCGCCAGGACCACCGCCTCTCTTGGGTAGCGGGTGAGGCAGTCCAACCTCCCTGAATCCTCCTCAAAGAGATGCCACCTGTTATTGTTGTTGTTGTTGTTGTTGTTGTTGTTGTTGTTGTTGTTGTTGTTGTTGTGGACCATGTTTCATAGACATGTGTTAAAGTGCGATGTTGATAATAATCTTAGTGTTGTTGTCTCTGTCATTGTTGCTGTTGTTGTTTTTGTTGTTGTTGTTGTCATCTTTTTTCATCTTCTTTTTCTTCTCTACGTACTCCTCCTCCTCCTCCTGCTGCTGCTGCTGCTTCTGTTGCTCCTCCTCTCCCCCTTCCACCCTCCCCCCTTCCACCCTCCCCCCTTCTTTTCTTTGTATGTTACTCTCTTGTATCATCTCTCTAATCTTCAGCCCTTACATTATGATCTAATTGTGTTGCAACTGCCATAAAATTCAAAACTCAAACTTCCCCGTGGGTGGCTGGTGGGTGCTCTGGTGTGGTTTGCTTCTTCTTTCCTATCAAACATCCATCGTCCGTATCTCCCCTCCTTCTTTTTTGTATTTGTTACTCTCTTGAGACACCTCTAATCTTCAGCACTTATATTATGATCTAATTGTGTTGCAAGTGCCATAAAACTAAAACTAAACTCCCTCCTCAGGCCCCTGCATGAATGGTGGCACTTGCATCGACGGAGTGGCGAGCTACAACTGCAGCTGTGTCAGCGGGTTTGGCGGCCGCCACTGCCAGAACGACATTGACGAGTGCGCGTCGAACCCATGCACCAACGGCGCCACCTGCGAGGATTACGTCAACTCTTACACGTGCACGTGTCGCCCAGGGTACAGCGGCATGCACTGTCAGGTCAACGATAATGATTGTACCAAGAGGTGGGTGTCTGTGTTGTGTGTTATGTGTTGTTTTGTGTGTGTGTTGTTTTGTGTGTGTTGTGTTTTTTGTGCAATGTCGCCCCAGGTACAGCGGCATGCACTGTCAGGTCAACGATAATGATTGGACCAAGAGGTGAGTGTCTGTGTTGTGTGTTGTTTTGTTTGTATGTGTGTGTTGTATTGTGGCTCTGTGTAAGTGTGTGTGTGTTGTGTTTTTGTGCACGTGTCATCTGGACTATAGCAGCGTGCACTGTCAAGTCAACGATAATTATTGCTCTAAGAGGTGGGTGTCTGTGTTGTGTGTAGTTTCGTGTTGTGCGTGTGTGTGTGTGTGTGTGTGTGTGTGTGTGTGTGTGTGTGTGTGTGTGTG